GCCAGACTCTTTTCAGTGGTGCCCAGTGACAGAACAAGGGGCAATGGGCACAAGCTGAAGCACAGGATGTTCCGTCTGAACATGCGGAAGAACTTCTTCCCTCTGAGGGTGACGGAGCACTGGATCACGTTGCCCAGGGATCTTGTGGAGTCTCCTTCTCTGGAGATACTCAAGACCCACCTGGACAAGGTCCTGTGCAGCCTGCTGTAGGTGACCCTGCTTCGGCAGGGGAGTTGGACTAGATGACCCACAGAGGTCCCTTCCAACCCCTACCATTCTGTGATTCTGTGAATTGTCTTCTTTAGTAGCAGACTGATAATGATTTAATTCTTTCTACCTTGCCCCGTAGTATGTGTCTAGATAAATTTTTGCTAAATGTGCTTGAGGCCACTGTGTTTGCAACAATTTTAGTCTGACTTCTGCTTTTATAATAGGTATGTATGAACATCCTGTTATTTATGTTTTAGCTACAGAAGTATGTATTTATGGAGAGTCTCAGAAAAGTTTCTTTCATGCCATAACTCCAGACCTAAATCTGCTATCCAGGTGAAAAATGTCAAGGTGTGCACATAGTCTTGTAAGACGCCCAGCCAGTCATTTGCAAAATCCATGCTCCATAACTGAAGGGAATAAAACATTTACGCAACACATAGTTGTAGAATGTGGTCAGTCAGCAACCTAATGTATATTTGAAATGTAACTTAGTGCACCTCTAACTGTTGTCACACATTTTTTCCTATCCAGGAAATGACACTTTTTTTTATTATTTGGTGATCCATTTTTTTTTCCGCCATGCTTTTCTCTTTTCTCTCAAGTTTCTGTAGAGAGCCTCTATTACACTTTGTTGCCTAGTTTAGCCTGCAGATTGTTTCTTTCTTTTAAAATTGGAGGTTTTAAAGGGATTTAGAAAACAACATAGTTTATATTTGTGATACAGACATTGCTTTCCAAAATTGTCTGAGATCATCCACATTTTAGAAAAAAATTGTTATTGCAGAAGATGACATTTCTGGTTAAGTTTTGGTGAGGATCTTTATATTTCATAAGGAATATAAAACTAAAAATGTCATTTCTTTGTTGGGCGGGCAGAAAGCCATTTAAATTTTAACTGGGGAAAAGCTGAGGCTGGTTGGTTGTCGCCTGCCAACAGCCTCGCTGACATTTCTCTGAAAAAATGTCTGTATTTCAATTAGAGGCAGCCCGTTAATACAGCCCAGAAGTTTGTAATGATGGGGTTTAGTTTCTTTTCCTTAAGTAGCACATTTATGTCATGAACTTCAGTGCCTAGTACCATGTTCTTTAAAGGAAAGTAGTAAAACTTACATAAACCAGCAGCTTCTGCAGTTAGAGAAATAAGCAAGCTTAAAGCAGTTTCAGTAGAACAAAGACAATGTGTGAGAAAGTTTTGGCAATTTCCATAGAGACAAAAACTAAATCCATTGTGAAAAAGATTTTTCTAATTTACTGATTTACTCAGTTGGATACAATAGCTTGCCAGATTTCAGAGTTGTCTCTAGACTTCGTGTTTTAAAGCACGCTGAAAGTAAGAGTGGTGTCTCCTTTATACCGATTCTTTTTTTTCCGAACAGTGGTTTCAGCAGGCACACAAGCAGAGAAATTTTATTTTGAAAGAGGAGGGAGATACACAGCCATTAAGAAGGATTATTCTTTAATCGGATGAATTGAGGTGTTCCTGATGTTTGATATTACTACTGAAAAGTATGTGCAAATTTGCGTCCGTTCACTTTATGCTTACGAATCCTAATCTTCTGAGACTAGCAGGATAGAGCGAGCTATGCTATTACTGTAAGCTGATGTGCTGGAAATCTCTACTAAAATGTACTGTTTAAATATTTCAGATGGAAATTGACACAGCACTGAGTGATCTGGAAGCAGCTGACTTTGCAGAGCTGGTAAATGTTTTGGTTTTTTGTTCCCATTGCATAGTATCTTTTTGCCTAGGTGTCATATTCCGTAGCTTAAAAAATAATCCTAATTCCAAACTCATCCGCTCTTTTTAATCAATTGGGAGTCAAAGTAAAGGTGTATGCTATATTATTCTTGTTTTAAGACAGCTCAGTTTTACCCATTCTGTTTATCTTTAATTTCTCTCCATGGTTAACTTTATAACTGTATTATAATCCTATAGGATTAGTCACTGACAGCCAATGATTTACTAGAATTTAAGTCCATGGGATGTCTACAAGGACACTCTAATTTCAACATAGCTGATTGTTGTTACGTCTCTTTTTTCATATAGACAACTGCCTCTTCCCAAGCAATTGCAAATAAACCTGAAAACTTCTATGGAGCACTGAGAACTTAATTTTCCAGTTTATAGAAAGCAATTACAAGTTACACAGATTTTTAATACTGTTAAAGGAGAAGATAGTAATTTACTTAAGTATCACTTGCTATGCGTGTTCTTTACTGTGCTGTATAGGACAGCAAGTTTTAAACATATTGAAATTTCAGTTTTACTTTCTAATGAAAGAGCTTTCTTAAACTCATGTTCCAGAACAGTTATTTTAAAATTATTTTCTTCATAGGTATATTATATTTGAGCATAAAGATAACTTGTTTGATCACATATTTAGCATAACAATTTTGGACATACATATTCTTCATTACAAAAGATACTTAACGATTCTTAAAACTTAACATACAAGGTAGGCAGACATATAGTCCTTCTTGAAAAGGAATAAAAAAAAAAAAATCACTGTACTAAACAACCTGGATGATTATTTGCACAAAGCAATTTTTATAAGTTGTAGTTTATTGCACAGAAATTGATTGCACCCACTTAATTTCAAATATACTATATCCACCTACAGATAGTGTTGCTAATCTGAGAGCACTGGTCATCTAGATTAAAAGCTCAGTGAATGGGTATATTTTGGGTAAAATATCAAATACTGGAAAAAATACTTTGACTTAGAAGTCTTACTCTAGGAGGGCCTCTGGTGTCAATAGTTATGCTTCAGCTATGTTGCTGTTAAGAACTCAGAGAATTAGCATACCCTAAGAAAAACAGTTTATGGACAGGTAAGAACTAAATAGGAAATCTGTTATTTTGAGCTGAAAATTGTTAGAGAAAATTGTAGTGACATGAAAATCAATAATGGAGGCTAAAAACTTGGTATTTCAGATAGCTGTTCAGTATTAACTGCCATAATGATAATAAGAACGGGTCAAGAATGGAAATATTAAATAAGATATTGATTACAATTGAATGGAATTAGTTGACTTCTGTTGGTAAAATAAAAATTCTGAATTAAAATTTATACCATGCTTTTTTTTCCACAGTCTGAAGATTATTACGACATGAGAAGATTATATACAATTATGGGCTCTTGTCTCTTCTACAAGGTAGTATTAGTGATTAAGGCCTAAAGATTAGGAAAATGCATCTGGAAATCTAGCACAGTCATGGAGTAACTCTTTTCAGAACCTCACAAATATGAAAAAATGAATGATTGCTTTAAACATGTATTTCTAGTAACAGACCTAAAACTCAAACACCGTAACAGAAAAAATTTATGTTGGGAAGTGATATGTACTGTATGATCAGTAAGAACAAAATACTTGTTTGAAACTCTCTCATGGGAATTTTGCTGCATATGATCCAACGATTGACTAGACAGTAATAAGAGTCAATTCAAGTGAGACTGTATGATATTCTAATAGGAATTTTTTTGTTCATTGCCATTTTTTAATAAAGACAACAGATGGTTAATCTGTCTTTAAATCAAAGGCTTGAGAAATAGCATTGACAGCTTTTTTTACTTTGGCTTCATTTATAAATTTATTTATCTCTATTAAATGTTGACACTGTATTCAGCAGTATAAAGAGGAAGATAACAGCCTTTGCTTTAAGGGAATTTACATTTTAAGGATTTTGTTGTGCCATTGTTCTTTATGCTGCTAGTGTTATGAGACTAAACTGTTAGCACAAATGGAACTACAAAGTACCTACCATGACAGCACTTTAACTGTAATGCCCTTAGTGCTAGAAGCACTGTTGTACTATGTATCTTCTTTTGAAATTTTATTAATTCCAGTGAAAGCTCAGTATTTTTGGTAGACAGGAAAGGAGAATTAAAGCATTTTAAATCTATAGCTGTTTTTAAAGCTGTTAAAGCCATACATTTCCCAGCTGGCCTTTGATAACTTGCATGTATGCTGATGTTTTATTTGTTTACACTTCATTTTTCTGATTCTTCAGATGTGGTGCAAAAGCTCAGTGTTATCTGTTGAACAACTGTATACCAAAAAGACTGTCTCTGGCCAGAAAGCTTACAATCTGAATGCATGTGGAGCATGGATGTCTCTCTATGAAAAATACTTTTAAGTGTTAAGTGATGGTGTTGTATTTCTTACTGAATACACTTCCTTTTTTGTGTTTAATTAAGGGTTACTTGATTGGTAATCACTTGCCAAAGGAAGATCTTATTGATATAGGTTTATATTGTCGGCACTATTGTCTGTTACCCTTGGCAGCAGAACAGAAGATTGGTCAGTTAGTGATATGGCGGGAAGTATTTCCACATCATCATATCCAGCCATGTGAAGTTTCAAGTTTTACAGGATACAGGGAGCCTGAAGCAAGATACTTTTTACTGATAGTTGGCTTGGTAAGTTAACATTTGCAGTATGCCTGTTCTCTGATGCTCTGTTGTTGTGTGTTGTCTGTTGTTCAAGATCAACACTTCCCATGCATTTTATTTAGTAATTTTACAAAATATTCATATTATAGCTGTTTCATGGGATAAATTTCTCTGAGAGTAGCATTATTTATACATTTGTAAAGCTTGCAAATCTAGGTATAAATTATCGTTATTTTTATGCCTTTTCTTAGATTGAAAATGTTTTTACTTTTATGATCTTGTATTTTCAGGTAACTCATTTCAGAAATGTGTTTGTTTTTTTTAAATGTAGACTTTTTTAAAGGAAACAACTAATGAGCTTCTAAATGATAACTTTTACATTTTCGTGATTAACTTAAATAACATGATAACAGGAAGATCTCCTTGACAATTATTTGATTAGGAAAAAAAAATAACTCCTTGGGAGATGAGCAGGGAGTGTTGAATATAGTGGTGTATTTTGCGCTAGTATCAGATGAGACATAAATATAATACAGCAGATATTGCATGTAAAACCAAAAGCTAATGTTGCTACCTCCGTGTTTACAGAGACACTTTATGTTGTGTGTCCTGCTAGAGGCAGGAGGCTGTGCATCAAAAGCTATTGGGAATCCAGGACCAGACTGTATATACGTCGATCAGGTCAAAGCCACTATACTTCAGCTGGAAGGAATAGATGCCAGCATAGAGGAAAGGCTAGATTCTCCTTCCATTCCACCTTTATCATGTGCTGACTGGTTCCTTCCTGCAACACGTGACAAACTGGAGAGCTCGACCACCTCACCCATCCTAAGCAAGCTACAGAATACTTCCAAATCAGTAACCACTCCAGCAAGCAAAAGGACCCTGTTTGGTGACTCTTCCTTAATGACACGTAAGCTGAGCCCTACGAGACACAGTGGAGGACCTGACCACGGTAACGAAGGTCCTGCGGAAGATGAAAGCAGTAATCCACAGTCTGTAGCGGATCAGGTCTGAGAACAAAGAGAACTGATAAATTGATAAGGTTCTGGTGGGCTTGGGGGAGGTGGCAGTTCTTTTAAAAACTCATTCAAGTAACTCTTTTGAAAAAAGCATGCTATAAAAGAATAAATCTTAAGAGCCCCTGAATTCCGTAGACGATACTTCTGTTGCTGTGGGAAACTCTGGGTAAGCCTCAGAGCCATCACATTTTTTTATTTTATCATTGCTTGTAAATGTTTGATTTTTTTCACATGAATAAAGTAGGCACAGCTGCATTGGAATCAGCAGAAATAATTGGAGAATATTCCCAAAACAATAATGGTGTAAACATAAGTTATTAGAACAAATTGCTGTATAGTTGTACAACTGTTTCTAACCCATTTTTGTCCAAAATAGGCTATAAAATACCTTTATATAAGTTGATGTGGCTGTTTGGGCCTTTTTAAAAAACACTACATTATTTTCTTCTAAGTAGGTGATTTGTTGGTTTGGTTCTGTTCTTCCGTTAGCTGTGTTTTCTCTGTTAGTTCATCTGTCTGCTTTTTTCCCAGGCCACTAGAAAAAAGCATTCCCTACCAAATCCATTTCATTTAGGAAACCTCAAAAAGAACGTTTCAGAGAAAGATACAGAACTTGTTAATGCTATCAAGTAAGAAATTATTTTTTTCTTAAGTATTTCATTTTTAAGGCTGTACTTGGATCGGTTTTTGTGCACAGATCACAGATCCTGCATAACTTGATTCTAACCAGAACTTTGGTATGTCTAGGTAGGTGTACAAAGGACAAAGAAGCCGTGATCTTCCCAGTTTCCACTTCTCGCTTGTGACAGCGCAGTCTGCTCTGGTGTTTTGTTTGAGCTCTAAAGAAAGCTCTAACCTGCTCTCCCCCCACAGCTTTTATTTCTCCTTTCTTTTTTCTTGGTGAGAATTTTTGAGGACACAAGCGCAATACCTAACTAGTACCATAGGTGTTTTGGTGGTTTTTTGCTTTTTTTAAATTGAGTATTAACAGTCCAAATTAGCAGGATTTCCTTGGTGTAGAAATAGGCACCTTTTGAATGTCTATATCTATTTTTGTACTCTATTGTGGTTACCAGAAATATAATTCTGTCTTAAGAAACAAAAGTATATGTTATTTAACTGAAACATCTTTCAAAATTATTTTAATATTAAATGAATTCTTCTTTTTTTTTTAAGGTTGACATCTGGTCCTGAGAATACCCTCTTCCACTATCTATCTTTGGAAACAATGCAAGGAATCTTTATTACTCCAACTCACAAAGAAGTAGCACGGCTTGGTGGCACCATCCACCCTCAGTTAATTGAGAATTTCTATCGTTGCTGTCTTTCAATTCGTTCCGTTTTTCAGCAGTCCATGAGGAAAGAAGTATGGAAGCTTTGTTTTCTGTTTTTCTATTTACATTTTCAACTCAGTATTTCAAGATTGTTTTCACTTTGCTATTTAAATAGTTCACTAGCAGGTGTATTTGCATACGTGTAGTTGTTTTTAAAGTTCTGCATATTTTTAATGCTCTGGGCAGGTTCTTTCTCTGACCATCTAACAAAATATGCATGCAATTAAGGCTCTTTTTCCCACCAAAAATGCCCTCAATTAATACTCCGTGTCTCCAGTATAGTATTTTCTTACTCTGTTTCATATTAGGACGCTTGTTTGTAATTTAGCAAAAAGTTTCACACGCTGAGTTCAAGAACTGTAAGTAGCAAAAGAGGGAGTTTTAGCCATTTTGATGCTGTGAGGGGTTTCAGATTGGCAGCAAAAAGAAATTTAGGCCCTCTTTTTTTCACAGAAAATGTTCCATATGCGCAGCAACAGCGCAGTCTCCCCTCACTGTGCTGTCCGTGTCTGAACAGTGACCTAAGAGGGCCTCTGACGGTGAGAGGTGTGTTCATTAAGTCTCTTTGCTCTCTGTGCTGCCCAAGATTGCTTATACATTTGCCATCCACTAATGTCTGTAATCATTTGTTCACGTGGCTAGCAGTCTAAAAGACTGGCTGTAACGATCAATGCCTTTTAATTATGCTGCCAGCTCTCTTGGATTTTCGATTAGGTGGGATGCCAGAATAGGTAAGGCTTTTTCCCTTTACAAAAACCTTGCTCTAGACTTGGGCTGAAGCCTGATCCCAGCTGCCAGAGCTTTATGTGGGTACTTGGTATTTAGATTAGACTCAAAAATGGACAGATCTGATGTCAGCAACTGTACTGCTTTGTGTTTGATTAAAAATTTCTGTTTATTCCAAATGATCCATCTGTAGTAGGATGGTAGTAGTAACACAGAAATCTAAACAATAGGTACAAGAATCGATTTATGAGATACTCCATTCAGATCAGACATTTTGCGTTCAATGCATACTTTATTTTTCTAAAAGTCTGGTTTGTTAATTGCAAAGTTGATTTTATTGACATGAACCAAATTAGATAACATTTCATCTCTGCTAATTTTGTGACCTGTTTAGTCCTTTTGGAAAAGAGAAATAACTACTTACAAACCTAAGTGGAATACTGTCTATCGGTGGCATTCTTAGATTCTAAAGTGACAATACAACTGAATTAAATGAGAAATGCGAAATAACAGTACAAATTGAATGAACTCAGTTTGCAAATAGCAGTATAATTTTTCTTAAAGTTACCAGAGAAGTCACTTCTGGTTAGACCGATATGCCTTGTAAATCATTGAGGAATTTTTAAGTGTTAGAAAAATAGGTTAATTTAGTGGATTGTTCTGTCAACTTCATATGACACTGGGGTTTAGCTGAGTAGGACTTTGACAATGAGTCATGTATTTTGAGGACTTCTGTTTGGGAGATGTATAAACCCAAAAGCAAGCAGAGAGAATACACAAATGCTTCTTATCATCAAATTGCCTTTGGTTACAACTGTTAAATAGACAGTTTATGGTTCAAACAAAAAAAAAACCCTGAATAAATAAACCATTCGACCATTAGGTGTAGCTCATAAAAAGTGAAAAACTCACACTTAAAAGTGAAATCTTCTGGCTTGGATACAGCTACGTCAGCACATGTTTTTCTGGCTTCTTCAGACATGGGTACAGTAGGCAGCAGCTGGGTTCATTCTGCTCTGAAAATCAGAAATAATTGATGAACATGTGCTGCAGAACAAAGTTTCTCTTTCAGAAAAATTTGGGGTAGTTTTTGCATGTTGGCTCCAACAGTTAATGCTGAAATTAGCAGGTTGCATTATGGTATGAGGAAAATGTAAAAGAATGAACAGAAGTTTTCCTTGTTCATAGTGCATGACAAAAAAATTCAAATATAGAAATGTACTATTATATTGCTTATTCTTTGACATCAGCTAAATATTCTTATAGTTTAGGATTTAGAGAATTGCAGCAATAATGCAAAATTATTGTAAACTGATGAATAATTATTTCGCCTCACTTTTTGAGAACTGAAAAGTCACAATTTAACTTCTAAATATGTACAGAAATTTTGAATAAATTTTAAATTGAGCAAAAGTAAGCTCTGTAGTCTTAAATCCTAAAATATATGTCAATATGTAATAAGCACCCCGGCCTAATTTTATGGATCATCGTAGTAGTCTTTTCTGGCTCTTAAATAAAATCAGAAGGAAGGAGGTTTTAATGCATATGAAAGTACAGACCCTCATAGTTCTATCAAATATCCTCTCTTAGTACATAACTTTTCTTGAGTATTCTCAGTATGAATAGTATAGTGTAAGATGTGCTAAAATATAAACAAATGTCAGCTTGGAAATCGCTTGATAATGACCCCATTTTTTTGGTGGGGAAGATTATTAGACTGACTTAACATATTCCTTAAGTCTTTTCCAGTAGCAGTATTAGCAAGAACAGGGTTTGAAACAATTTTACTTTCTAAGGAAAGATACAGTAAGGGTCAAGGCATCTATTGGGAAATTTCTTCCACTCTATGAACTAGTAGTAATTTAGAATATGCTTTATGAATTTAAGCCCAAGTATGTTTAGGGAAATTCAAAAGACATTTCCTCAGGCAAATATTAGCCGTTTTCTTTCTCAAATGCTAAGGTGCATTTCGCTTTTTCTTCTACCACTTTTGAGAAATTAAGACAGTTATGATGTTTTGACCATCTTTTCTTTTCTAGATCTTCAGCCCCCACATCTTCAGTATTGTAGGCAGACTGAAAGATGTGGTTTCTGCCTCTGCATACGGCAGACAGAAGTTCCCTGAGACTTTTTTTTCCAAGAAAACCTTTTCTTTCGCCTTTGAAGCAACTGATTGGAACAAAAGTTCCGTTGGCAGATCTAGAGATGCCCTGGCTTAACAACTCTCTTAAGACAGATTTGTTTCAAAGGGATTTCCACTTCTGTTTCCATAATTTCCTCATCCTGCAAATGTAAAAAACTTTTAAAGCTTGTTTGTTTCATTATTACGTAGACATTTACAAAAGCGTAATAAACTTCCTTTGACTGCAGTGGGAGAAGGCTTAAACTAGTGACAAACCCTTTCAAAATTTCTTCCGTGTTTATCTGCATGTCCATTCTGGTCTTTTTCCCCTCGCATTTCTGGTGAAAGATACAGTGGCTTTATTGGACTCCCAGGACTGTTGAGCACCAAGACAGAGCAAAGAGAGAAAAGCAGGTTTTGTGCATGCAGTTTGATCCTCACCAAATAGGTACCAGGAGTTCAGTTAGAAACAGCAGGAACTTTTGCAAGGTTTATTCAAAAGCTCTGTACAAAACATAGCCCTAAAAACTCAATGAAGCACAAAATTGTCTTTATTTTCTATACATTTATGCACTCGTACTGAGTAAGAGCAAGAAAACGCTCTGAGCGAAGTGCTTCAACTGTTCGTTTACAAAAAGAAATTCTTGCCTGGCCAAGCTTATTCAATAGACTTTTACTATCACAGTTCTTAATTAGGGAGGCACAGAGAGAAAGACGGACGAGAGCTTTAGCAGCTGTAACACACTTTTAAAGAAGCTGTATTATCTCAGTTGTCTTATTAGAGAAATAGTGCTCAGCTAGAAGGAAAAAAAGATGAAGCATGTGTCTACCTCCAAGTTGTGTAACAAGGGGAAAGCCTGTTGATGCCAAAGTAACTGTGGAGAAAAGATTCACGCAAGTTAGTTACATCTTCAAAGTCTGGATTTTAGCAGCAATATCATTCATCAGAGATTCCTGAAGAAATCACATAGTTATATTTGCTTGTGTTTATGTAAATATACTTCATTTTGTACTAACATTTCACCAACTGTTTTACAGAAAAAGAAAAAAGCAGGCGGTGGGATTCCAGAATTTAGTAAGGCAGCTGAGGACCTAGATCTGGTAACAGAACATGGAGTTTTGTTTGAGTGCTCTCCTGACAACTGGACTGATCAGAAGAAACCACCACCAACAATGAGTTACTGGGTTGTGGGGTGAGTTTAAAGGCAAATGAATGTGTTTCTCCCAAAGTTTTCCATTTTGAATATTCCGCTGTACTCTCCAAAAATAAATTTAACTGGAGCACATCACAGAAATACTTGAGCTGACTGACTCGGGTAGCTTTGATGTGGCATCTAGGAAGTTGCACTGGAGTGACGTTCCACCTGCTGTAAACCGAAGTGTGTTAACTCAGGTGAGCACCATGTCAGCACACTAACAGCACAGAGCTGGCACCCTTTGCAGTGCTGCACTGTGCTATGCAGACATGCTAAAGTGCTGTAATCATACTCTTAATACACTGCATTTTCTTTGTCCTCCTCATGCTCCTTCTGACCTCTCCGTTCCCTGCTTTGCAAGTAAATCCCACCTGCCTTGCCTCTCTGTGTAATGCTGATTCAGTGGAAGGAAGGAAGGTGAACAACTGTAGTTGTTGGTTGGTCGGTTTTTTTTCCATCAGGAAAATCAAATCAACCTACCAGTCTATCTGAGGTATTTTGGAAAGGGAGTTTTCTTTCATCAGTTTGCTTTCAAAGTTCTGCTGTTATCCCTGTAAATGGATTGTGATTTGTGTTGTTATTTAAACTCAATTTTAAGTGATTTTCTTAATGATGCATATAGTTATTGCTGCATAGCTAAGCCTTATTTGCATGACAAAACAGCATACTGCCCTAGGCATTAAATATTAAAAATAATAAATTTTTTTGAAGTAATTAAAATTAGGTGTAATGAGAAAGTAGTACGTATCATTTCTTCACAATTCGGAATGTATCAGATCTTGCAACTGTTGGAAGTCCAGGCCAGTAAGCCCTATTCTGTAGCAACTACTTCTCATCTGTTATTCTTTCCTCAATCCACTATATTTTGTGCTGTCTGCATTTTAGCTGCAGGAAGTAGACAGTCATATTAGGAGGAATCAGTCAGCAGGATGTTTCCTCCTTTTCTACACTCATCTTCTGTATTTGGTATTTCTACCAGATAAATAGGAAGAAAAATGCAAACACTCAGTTAAATGGAAGCTATGCTTTCACCATATGAAAAACAAATTCGGTATAGGCAATGAGTGAAAGGAACGTAAATGATTATGCTTGATTAATTCCTTAAGTTATAATTTTTTTACTAGTTCAACTATTGCGCAAATAGGAAAGTCAGAAAACAGCAAAATACATTTCTGAATATGGCACGAGAACTTTTTTTCTGATACAGTGAGAGGAAATGTCATCCACACGTAATTATATTGGCCAGGAATAATAATGCAGAAATTCTCTAACAGAGCTTTTGTTCAACCTGTTTGCCTCCAAGTCAGGTGTTTAAAAACAGTTGTTTCCCACCATGAATGTACATAACTGCAGTTTGTGTGCTATCCTTGGGGTTGGAAAAATCAAAATCTTTAATTTAAAGGTTTAAAAAGGTTTATTGATATTGATATTTTTAAAAAATAATTTTTCAGTCTCTGCATTATCAAACAACGTGTTCAACCAGGGGCAGTCCATTTGTATTTCCAGAGCTATATGCTATGCTATAATGCTATACACAGTAGTTATGCACAGGTGTTAACAGGCTTTCCTATTTTAGCTCTTGCCCTAAAAGAGCTTATTAGATTGACATGTGGGAATGTACCTACCCAGATGTGTTAAGTTTAAAAATGAGTAAATGTGTGAATACTGGGGCTTGCTCCCAAGTACCTTGATTGCAGCCTGTAGCCTGGAAACTTGGATTCCTGCAAACACACCAGTACCGTACAAATAGATCCTGAAAACCGGAAGAATTTTTTCCATGCAGAGTCTTGAGAACGTTGAGCAGAGAATAACTCGATTTAAAAATCTCACGTATTGAAAGAAGTAAGATCATGCAGGAGAGCCACCGAAATTTGCAAGTTGTCTTACCCAGCAGTTGTTTTCAACTTATTACTGAAACCTCAGCGTACAACCAGAACATATCAAACAGTTGAGGAGAAAAAGCTAACACCTGTGATAATTTTCTTTCTTCTTCTTTTTTTTTTTTTTTTCCAGGAGACTTTTTCTACATCCCAAGCCTCAGGAGTGTTATGTCTGTTTTCATGACTCAGTCACAGAGGCTGCTGTTGGAATGGGCTTTTAAATGTCCGGCTTGGCTACGTAGATGAGCTGCCTGAACATTCAGCCGTCCTGCGGGGTGTGGTCATCTCGTTAAAGTACTTCAGTATAAAAAGAAACGAACTCAGTTGTGGTCCCCACCCATGGCCTATCTTTTGAAATGCTTTTTAAACAAAAAATTCTACCTTGTGGTAATGACACAGGTAAAACTTCAGTGATGATTCTAATGATCTCACCAATTGAATACTTAAAAAGATTTCAGAGAACCAAAGTTCTTATTTTTATATACTGTTGAATTATTTATCCTGATCGTAACTTTTTTATATGAAAACATCACATAATTTGTACATTCACTGCTGTTCTGTGTATAATATGCAATGTAAAATGATAAGCTGATATCCTGAACGTACTCTGGCAATTAGTGATCGAGGGGAAAAAAAAATGTTTTCCAATTAATTAAAATTTTGTGCCTATAAGGGCATGAAAAATACTGAATGTTTTCAGTAACATTGTGTTAATCAAAACAGAAAGAAATCTTTTAGCCAGTTCATGGCACTTCACCACACAAAACTAATGGCTTATAATTTTTGCTATCAGGGTCTCCTGCACACTTGAGGACTATAGTGTGGTTGATGTTTTACTTGACTATGTGAGTTTTAAGTATAAATAATACCTATATTTGTTAAAAGGCAATTTTGAAGGCACAAAAGAAGATGGGGGGGCAGGGAGGTGATGGTTTTAAGACCTATGCATGGACTTGTCTTGTATTTATAATTTCATAATAAAAAAATGTTTATTTGGCTAAGACCAGTGAAATGTTATTCTATTTATTTTTACTTAGCATATTTTCTCTTCTGTTTATTTAAACAATATTTGTTTAGTTAGGTCTTCTACAATTTACAGCTGGATATTACAAAAAAAATTAAGTTACATCCGTATAAGGCAAGAGAAGGCAAGATGTTTGCAAAATCAGAATTCTTCTACAAAATGCAGCTTTCCTACAAATTGTTAAAATGTTTATAATCTACAGAACAGATGATCCTAAAGCTTTTTTAACTAAAGTTTAGTTTAAAATGTAAGATTTTCAGGGGTCTCTTTACCCAACAGCCAGCACATTTAGATCTGGTCATCTGCATAGCATTTCATCACGTTCCATGGCAACAGTGCATTTTTTTTTTCTGTCTGCTCTTTCCACTTGCTTTTTATGACTGCTTTTCATAAAATGCATGACTAAAGTTGCATTTTAAACAATGAGATCAAAAAGTTTATTTATTCATGAAAGTAAATTCAGTTCCATAGGCTCTCATGATAAAATTTTTAGATCTTGTTTTCACTAGTAAATTACACTGTTTAGAGTAGTTCTAAAATGCTTATAACTGCCCACTCTCACAGAGTGATTCCCAGCTTGTCTTGAGTCACTCAACAGTTGCTTTAATTCCAAGCAGTAGAAGTGTTAGGCTTGAAGTTTAAGCATATGATTGAAGATTTTGTTAATCAGCCTTCTGCAGAATTTATGGTTCCTAGAAGATGAGAAATGGACAGTATTTTAGTTTGAGAATTACAAAACTGAGTTGTATCAATAGCACTTCAGATTTTTTTCCCATCTGTAAATCAAGTGATGTGAGATTTACTCTGTTTGAAAAATAAAAATGTAATAGTCCATGACATCTGGACAGCACCTTTTAAAAGTCTAAAATATGTGGGGTTTGAATACAAGATTTTGTTGTACTGGAAGAAGGAACATAGAAAAGCAAGCAGTCTCTGCTGCACTGCTTTTAGCAGATTTAACAGCTTTTACAGAACCTTTGTTAAGTGTCTATCTGTATGGAAAAGGGTAATTTTGCTGATGTTTGTCTCTTGTTTCAAACTTTTAAAGACTGGGCTATATGACTTGAATGCTCTAAAAAGAGGACAGCTAACTTTTATCTAGATGCTTACATGTAGTCAGACTAGGTTACTTGGCTGTCAGTGTAGTGGGTTAAACTCAGTTGACGCAGCTGAGTCAATGCAGAAGAAACAGTGTGAATATGTAGCTGTGTGTGGAGAAAAGAACAACTGGAGGAGGGTGGGATTCCTTCAGTGCGCATCGGCCATTTAGACGGGCTTGCTCCTTCACATGAAATGGTACCGTAAACAGAATTAAGGGCATGCAAGTACCGCGTATGTATACTCAAAGCAGTGTAGTTCAGCCACAAAACACTGCAAAATTTGGACTCAGGGAGATTTTTATTGGTTACTTTGTTAGTCAGCTGAGCAGAGACTGTATTTTGCAGATTTTTAAGAACATGTTTAAAAAGAGCCCCAAAGGATGATAGGATTTCATTTGCTACAGAACACAGATTTTTATCAGGTATCTTTGACACAAATCTTGTAGCTTTGTAATTTTTAGGAAAATTACAGCTGTGAATCAGTGTGTAGAATTGATGCTGAAAGGAATAGATATGGAGAGGCTACCAGAGGAGTTAAAGAGGTAGTATTAAGGCTCAAAAGAAATTAATTTGTCTTTAAAACATTACTTACAAAAACTATTAGCGAAGCAATGTGGTGTACAACAAATCAGTGGAGTACCAGGGTTGAAATTACTAATGTCGAGGGAATGCAGGAAGCAAAAGTTAGCATTTAAAAACATCAACAATTAAAACATTTTGACTGAACAAATACAGTGTTTTATGCCTTCATTAGTCATAAATTCAGGAGATGTAGGGGAGGTAAAGCAATCAAAAAAAAAAAAAATGCTATCAGCAATCTAGAAGGAATTGGTACTTCTGACCTGCAATGGAATGGGTATAAATAACATGACTAAAATTCACTTACTTGTCATATATAATGTTTATTAACTCATAATTCAATGTGATCAAAAACTACCCTTTGTTACCTGGGGTTTTACTCTCTCATTCCTGGTCAGGGGAGAGGGGCCTGTTCCCACCGCTGCCAGAAGCTTCTGGAAAGATCCAGCGGCCTCCAGGAAGCTTGTTGCCGGCAGCTGGGCAGGGCGGCCCTCCCTGAAGGGATCAGTGCAGGAGAAGCAAATGGCGCCATTGCTGGGCCTGGCCACCCCTTGCCGCAGTCGAGGATAGAGGCAGCTCAGCTCCTGGGTACCCTGACACCATCAGCTTGTGACTTTTGAGGAAAAAGGAGCCATTTAGGTGCCTGCCAGCCACGTGCTTTTCGGGAAGAAGGGGACATGGCAGGGGGGGGCCGGGGTGGGGGCGTGTC